GATTTAGAATAGATACTGTAAAGACCAACACTGTAGAACCAGGAAAAAGAAATCTTAGTTTTGCTTCGTCTCGCAGAAATTCTATTTGAAAAGAGGTAACAATTATTAGAAACTTGAAGATGACAATACCAGCTACATCCTTTGCATAAAACTAGTTCCAGAACAAAATTCAAATTAGTACACCTGGTGTTTCTTACCCAGAAATATTACTCTGTCAGGCCTAAAACCAACAATATTTTGGCAAAAAAGCGTTTTTTACAGTATTCGACACCATATCAGACACTGATAATCTTTCATAGTCCACAATCATAAAACTCTTATCTTAGACTTTTTTCTACAAACAAATTATCCTGCTCGCCCCAAAACTAATCAAAAATCTATCCATTATCGGTTCAAGAAAAACGACTCACTAGGCTATAATGGTTAAAAAGCTTTGAATGACATTTACCAAATTTGTTGAAAATGCAAGAAATTTGCAGTATACAAAACTGCAAAATTCAGAGCTAAATTCGTGCTTTTTAATCCTGGTCTTCTCCCTCTACTTTTCCACATCCATACAATTCTAGATTAAAAAATGAAAAAATTTAAAGACGCAAAATTTTTTTGAATATTTCAGGAGGTTTTCTCAAAATTAACGATTAACGATAGTCGGCTAATGATTATACTTTATATTTTTCCCTTCATGTCGCTAGAATCACTGAGTTTTTGTCTAGTCATTCTTTTATTCTTAAAAACTATTACGTGGCTAAAATATTTGTTGAATCAACCTAGAAATTCTGCAAAGATATGAATTTATAAGATAATTATTCATAAAACAAAATCTTCTTGTTAATTTGTTTGAATGTTTTTCTAATAGTCTGATAGCAGATGACAAATTTAGAGGCGAAGAAAAAGACGTCACCGGTCGTTTACAATTACTTCAAATAGAGCATTTAAAGAAAAAAAAAAAATTAATTTTCAAGAAAAATAGATGCAGAACAAAAAGATGGTAACTGTAGTGTATATTGAAAACCAAAAAACTGCTAAATTTTTACATACGCTCAATATCTTATGTATCTACAGAAAATTTTATTAAGCAGAATTTTCTTGAGAACCTGCAAAGAACGTCAATTGGTAGACATATGTGAAAATGACAGCAGCAACTGCGTAAGCACAGAACATCTGAAAGTATATATTTGCAATAACAGCAATATTTTTTAAATTGTATTTAGTAAAGTAATATTATTTCAAAAAATTTTCGTATATTTGCTAATCAAACAGAAGATTAACCTGAACAGATGGAAATGGTGTTAAACATCCGACAGCAAAGGAAATTAAATCAGTCAATGAGGTTACTGTGATTGAGACAGCTGCATCGGAAAACGTCTCTTCCATACGATGCATAAGCGAATCGGCAACATTAGTGGCTCTCCAAGCCGATAACAAAATGAAAACATTGTCAACACCAACAGCTAAAAGTTTTTCAGTGTAAAACATTGATAGA